CTATTGATATTTCCAGATTATAACACAAACTCTTAAGTGTGATTCAGAAAATTCTGTAGGTATTCACTAATAATACATACCCCTGATAGAAAAATTCAGTTCTGTTAAACGATGTGCTGATTCAACTAGGTATTGCTAGTTGTGTGACATATGGGAAGCACAAGTCACAAATATTGAAACGAATTTAATACGATGCTTATAGTCACAGAATCACTTTTTTTTTTTAACATCGTTCTCACTCAGCCTCTTGAGTAGGGAACAATGAAAATCAGTAATTCAACTTGCATTTTGCTACTTTAAAAAAATGTTGCCAGGCAGTAGTGGAGCCCACCTTTAATCCTAGCACTTGGGAGGCAGAGGTAGATGGATCTCTGAGTTCAAGGCCAGCCTAATCTACAAAGTGAGTTACAGGATGGGCAGGGCTACACAGAGAAACTTGGTCTCAAAAAAAACCAAAACCACCCCCCCCCAAAAAAGTGAAATGTCTAAAATAAGTACAAAAGTCAGGTCATCAAATTCTATCCATAAATTTCATTTAAAACCTTTTATCTTAAATTAGATTAAATACCCCTTTATGGATACACCTCATAGTTACAGTCTTTAGAAGTTTTATTGATATTAAAGAACATTAATTCTCTAATCATGCCTCCAGGTATACACAAAATGACGTCAAACACAGCGGAGTATTTTTAAACGCTTTGAAAATCTGCCACTCCATATGTCGGAGGGCACCCTGTAATACTGTAATATATTCTTGCAAGTGTGGCTCACAGCAACATGTTTTATATCAAGAACAACATTTAAGTGACCCATCTGTTCAATTATTTACACTCTAAGTCTAATGTTAGCCTGACACATCTACCATGAACAGCAATGTGTTTCTGTGGAAAGGTATTGTAAACATTGCTATAACGTCCTCATGATGCCTGTACACAGTAAGAAGGTGGCTGTTGTTTTTTTAATTGGAAAGCAAAGTCTGCAAAAACTAGAGAAAAAAATATTGAATTTTGTTGTTTAAAATTGTTTTGAGGATTTTAAAAAATGTTATTAATTTGAGACATGGAAGATTTGTGGTATGAAATTTACATGAAGAAAAAAGATTGGGAGTTGAAACTGAGGCTCAGGGACATGCACGCGCACGCGCGAGCACGCGCGCACACGCACGCGCACACACACACACAGACACACACACACACACACACACACACAGAGCCATTCAGCAAAGGGTAGAATACATACTGTTCAAGGCATTAAGGAAACCACTGGCCATTAATTAACTGACCACTAGGCTAACCAAGCTGAGCTGCATGTAATGAGAATCTGCAGACTTTACAGAGTGATCTGGAAAAGTTACTAAGCAAGTGAAAGGCAGCCATAACAAGAAACTCTGGCCAACAGAAAGAATTTGATCCCCAGAGTTCTAATATTTACAAAAACCAGTTTTCTTTTCTTTTCTTTTGGGGGTGTGCAAATTAAAGCAAGCTTTTTATTAAAATGTTAAATACTGACCAAGATGGAATTTGGTCAGGACCATCACCTGGAAACTTTCCAGGAGAGTGGTCCCAAGGCACCATTGTCGGGCTTATATGGACAAAACCCATAGACCACCAAACTTTCTCATGAGGCTTTATTGTTACTTTCAAGAACTACAACTCCCAGAATCACAGAAAGTTATCTGGCCCTTGGGCAGGTGGGGGACTTAAAGGTTAACTTAGGGTCTAACATTCCCCCCATGAAGTTGTGTCTGGGTTAAATCCCTTAACTCTATGGTGGGTACTGGTTTATATTTGGATTTGGATATAATAGTATCCAGATAGGAATTATCATTTAGTTATTGTATCAATGATATAAAAGCCAACAGTAATTAACAGAAAGCAGACAGGCCAAAGGCTCTGTGATGGATAATATTTCTTTGTTCCCATCAAATTGTAGAACTAGTAGTTAATAACCAATTTCAACAACGAAACAAAAAGTACTATGGACACAAAAGAAATAAGGACATATGAATATTACAGGAAGTCAGTTGTCAATTAAAACTGTCCCTGTCCCTGAAAAAAAAACAAAACAGACTTTGAACTTTGTTTAAAAACAAAAACAAAATTCACGGCTGGCGAGATGGCTCAGCAGTTAAGAGCACTGGCTGTGCTTCCAGAGGTCCTGGGTTCGGTTCCTGGTATCCACGTGGCAGCCCACAACCATCTGTAACTCCAGTTCCAGAGGTTCTGATGCCCTCTTCCAGCCTCCAAAGACACCAGGTCCGCATGAAATACATAGATGTACACGCAGGCAAAATACATATACATATAAAATAAGTTTTTAAAAAACTTGAAATCAGCTATACTACAAGTACATTCAAAGAACTAAAACAGAACAAACCCCATGGTAAAAGAGGGAAAAAAGCAAGGTTTGATGGCATGTGCCTGAAGTCCCAGCAGCCTAGGAAGGTACGTCAGGAAGAATGCTTGAGAAAGTTTCACCCTGAGCAGCATAGTGACGAGTGATTTCTCTACAAATAAAGAAATAACATAACATAAAATGGGAAAATACAAGAATAATACGCCATCAATTTCTAGCTAGCCCAGACTAGCCCCAAAATCATAATCTCCCTGTCCCAGTCTTCCGAGTTCTAGGATTGTGGGCATGCACCACCGCAACCAGGTTCAAATGGATTCACAAGGATCTAAACAGACAGCACAGTGGTACATACCTATGGTCCCAGTTCCTCAAAGGGTGAGATAGAAGGGCCTCCTGAGTCCATGAGTTTAAGGCCAGATTGGACAGCATCACGTGTCTCCACCTAAAAATAAACAAGCAACAAGTGCCACAAAACCCTAAATAGAAGTCTAAACTCTAAAGATGAGAAGGGCAATAATGTCATTTCACTGTAGGCGCTCAAGAGCAAAGTTGAACTGGCAAAAGAGAGAATTTACTAATTTGAGACAATCTAGCTGATGAACAGAAATTTAAAGAGAAGTCCATCATTCATGAGGCAGAGGCATGAGTGTCATAGTAAACACAAGGCGAGCCTGATCTCCACAGTGAGTTCCTGGCCAGCCAGAGCTACAGAGTGAGACCTCTCTCACATATCTACCATACTCCCTGCTCAGATGGAAGGGAGGAAGGATGGAGGCATGGTGGGAAGGAAGAAGGAAGATAGGTAGGAAGGAAGGGAGGGAGGGAGGGAGGGTCTGACTGACCCATAGGACATCAACTGTACCAATATATACTGTGTCGACGGGCTTCTAATCTATAAGGATGCACAGCAATAATGTCCCAATGGAAGAATGTTATAGATGTATGGAATTTGAAATGCCTCCAACAAGCTCCTATGTTGACTTG